ATGTAATGCAGTGTGTCAGTCAATCCATGCATGATCGAGTGGAACTCGCAACAAGTCAGTCAACGCTGTGAGCGCCGACGACTCCCAGCGGCAGTCTTTTTTTGCTGTGCAAGAGGGTAGAGGCAAAGAACACGCCTGGCGGGCGAGAAGGACTAGGGTTGCGATGGATGGAGTCCACTGGGCGCAAAGAGAAATCCACTTAGCTTTGCATCGGCTAGCCCAATATTCGCTGGGTTCCCGTCCGAGCAACTGGGGGTTGTTCTTGCACTTTCTTCTCTCGCCTCGCCGACTGTTACTTTCCTCCTCAGTTTCACCCTCTCCACGCTGCTGTTGCAAGCTGTGTCTATTCATCATCGTCTTTACGACTTCTTTTTGCGAAATTCATTTGGAGTCTGCTCGACGCAGGTACTCGTCTCTTTGTCGTTGAGTGAGACTAGTTCTCTCCTTTTAATCCACTTTCGTTTCAGCGAGCCTCGTTCGCTACATATCAGTCCAGATACATAGCGACCTAGGAAGTATCCAACGTCTGGACGTTCGACGCGAAGCAGGCCCTTCGTCATTTTACATCATAGACTACAATCGCGCATCTTTATCACCTATAACCTCGAGTCTGCGAACAGGCTATCCGTCGTCGTTTGTCCTCAGAACCCACGTGCCAGATCTAGCGAGACACAGACCAACATCGATACAAAACTGAGCACTTTTTGATTGCAGCAAAGCATATCAGACAGAAAAGACCCCACACTGCACCTCGAACAACCGGGTGTCAGTCTTGAAAAATTCATTTAAATTTGAGCTGAGCGATCCGATACGACTTCATGTATCCTGCAACAGGCGCTCAGATGGCGCAATCACAGAAACCGGAGACGTTCATGCTCTCAACTGAGGCACAACAGAGCCTGCCACAAGATGCACAGGTGGCATTGCAGCAGGTGGATAACCTCAAGTACTTCCTCATCTCAGCTCCGGTTGATTGGACTCCCGAGTCTTTGATAAGAAGGTTTCTCCTGCCCACCGGAGAATACGTTTCCTGCGTGCTATGGAACAATCTCTTTCACATCTCTGGAACAGATATTGTTCGATGTCTAGCATTCCGGTTCCAGGCATTTGGCCGGCCCGTGAAGAATCCTAAGAAGTTTGAGGAAGGTATCTTCTCTGATCTGCGGAACCTGAAGGCGGGAACAGACGCATCATTGGAAGAGCCCAAGAGTCCTTTCCTGGATTTTCTTTACAAGAACAACTGCATTCGTACTCAGAAGAAGCAGAAGGTTTTTTATTGGTACAGCGTCCCACATGACCGCCTTTTCCTAGATGCACTTGAACGAGATTTAAAGAGGGAAAAGATGGGACAGGAAGCTACAACGAAAGCCATCTCTGAGCCAGCTCTATCGTTCGAGTTTGACTCATCCCAGTCCCTGTTTGAGCAGCTCACAAAGGCCCAACAAGCTCAATCTTCTTCCTTTCCTGCCTCGAATTCAGGGCCTGCTCCTCAAGCAAACTACTCTCAGTCCACCTCGCCTGTTCTGCGAGCAGTTGATTCCATGCCACCACCACAAATGATCCCTCAACAGGCCCAGCGGACGCAAGAGCAGCAACAGCAGACAATGTACGCTCCTATGCCTGTACAGCAGCAACAGATGCAAGAGCCGATGGGTCAGCCTATCGGTCAACCAATGCAGCAGGAATACTCCCAACAGATCTACTATGACCGCAACCAGCATATGCGACACTCCTCCATGCCGGCCTTTATGGAATACTCCCCAGCCCCCTCGTTCGTGTCATCTCACTACGATGGTTACAGCGCGCGAGGTGTGAGCTACGAGCCCATCACTCCACCACAGCAAGCCGTTCCAGTCGGCGCTGAACCGGCCTACATTGCGAACGAGGAGACCGGGCTCTACTCTGCTATACCTGAAATGCACCCGATGCCCGCATATAACCCTATGGCCTCTGTTCCGCCATCCACACTTGCAGGCCCTCAATTTGCACCTGCCACAAGAACCTTCACAACCAGCGGTGTCTACCCGATGATGGAGGGATCTCCTACGTACAAGGCCCGTCGACGACGATCGTCGATTCCATCGTCAATCATGAATGCTGTTGCAGCCAATGCTGCCGCACAGCTCCATAACATCAAGCCTACACATGCACCGCAGAGACCCAGCGATCTTCGGCGTTCCGTGTCGAGCTCCGTGCTGCCGATTGCTGGAGAACATCATGCAAATACAGCAACACCACCACCATCATCACATCCCTATCCTTCCACATTGGTCAGCCGAGAACCATTTCCCGATTTCTCGAGACATAGCACTCCTCTTGCAAGTTTGGAGGAGGATCAAGCAATGTCATTCCACGATGGCATGTCCAACTTGATCAACGATGACATCACCCAGTCACTACAGACCAGCCCGGCCGTACGTGCTGAGCGACCAGGCCCCATCCGCCGTGCTAGAAGCGCTACAATGATGGAGCTTGGCATGCCGTACAAATCTCATTCCTGCCCCATCCCATCTTGCGGTCGATTGTTCAAGCGTCTCGAGCATTTGAAGCGACACGTTCGAACACATACTCAGGAACGACCATATGTTTGCCCCTACTGCAACAAGGCGTTCTCCCGTTCTGACAACCTAGCACAGTAAGTTCTGACGCATTTGATCGAGAAGAAAGCACTAACGCTCCAATAGACATCGACGCACCCATGAAGGCCAAGTCGACGGTCAGCCCATTTCGTCCATCTCCGAAGAAGACGACCTCGAACAGGAAGAAAACGAATTTGGGTCTATCGATGAACTCAACTCTCCCGAAGAGATGGGTCCGTCAAAGATGGAACAATACATGTCAGGCTCATCGATGCCACCACCAGCTACCATCCCGCTCCCACAACCGATGATGGCGCCTTCTCAACTGATCCAATCATCCATGCTCTCCCGGATGTGAGCATGTGTAGACGGAGTTCCTGCGGGCTCAAAACTTCCCATTTGAAACCATCAAAAGCTCAGCATACTGCCTTGGCGTTCAAGCTGGCTACGACAGAATTAACGAAACCGATATTGGACATTTATCCTTCGATCATACTGTGGCTTGTCTATGTGCTACATTTTTGGACGAATGCATCTAAATCTGGTCTGTGTCGACGTTGTCGAAGGCATGCATCTAATAGATCATTTTGTGCCTACCTTCGAGCTATAGCGATAGGTACGGATTTTGTTTTGTTTTGTATTTTGCATTACCTCATCTTCTTCTTCCTGCATACAAGTTTGAATGGAGGTCATTTGTGTATTTGTAAATAACACCTGATATGGCTAGGGGGTGCTCTGGCGATATGGAGTTTCGTTATTCTTTGAGAGCATGTTGAGAAGCTGCTTCGAGCGCGAGCAGAGGTGCCGGGCCTGAGAGAGGTAAAGGCTGGTTGATAGCTTGAGTCTCAGGTGATTGACGTGGCTTGCGTAGCTAGAGTATGACCAAATGCGAAAAGTGTTACGATTTATCTCATGTGTTTGTGTGAAAATGCCTGTAAGCAACTCTCGCTTGCCGCTCCGTGAAGTCTGGAGCTGACGAAAGCATCATGGTTACTGCCTGAGGTGTCGAAATACCCCCAGCATTCAGAAGCGCGACGTCATGAGATTGACCTCGAGTTCGCGCAGTCTACAACAGGACCAGATACCTGTACCACGACGCCTTAATTGTTGCACCTTTTCAAGTTGTGAATCCTCCATCTACCCTTGACAAGCACCACGCCTAGATCATATCATCTTGCACTTGACATTTTCCGTCCTTGCAGTCAGTTTCCGAGCAGTATCCCACTTGGCCTACACCTCTAATCCGGAGCAATTGCAACCATGCTATTCAGAACAGCCTTTCGACCAGCTGCGAACATGTACAATATTGGTCTTTCGACATCCCGCTCCTTCTCTACAACATCTGCGTCTCTGATCAGCCGGCGCATACAACCACGATTTAATGCTTCCCGAACCGCAACCGCCTCCCTCTCATCTACACCTCGCCATCCGTTGCTACTCACAGCCCTTACCCTTTCCTCTGGTCTCATACTCCCTTACTACCTCCAACAACCAACGCGCAATGATGTCAGATCCCCAGCACCATACAGCCACGGTCGCGACGCAAAGACACCACTCAGTACAGATGGCGGAAGAAGTCTGAATCCGAAAGCGATACGGCAAATCAGCATGGGTTCCATTCTGGGGCTGGGGCTGGGTGTCGTCCTGAGTGCGTTGTCGAAGATGCTGGTTTTGACCTTGGGCCTTGGCATTGTGGTTTGGCAGGTAAGTTAGACATTTGCTGCGTGTGAGAGCGGTTGTGTTGATGAGTGCTCAATAGTTTGCTGCGAGAAGAGGGTATAATATTATTCCCGTCGAACGAATGCAACGATATGTCAAAGGGGTAAACCTACGGAGTGCGATCAACGATAATGCAGCTTTCAAGATCAGTTTTGGGTTAATGTTTGCCTTGACTGCTTTTGGAGAGTTTTAAACACTGGCATGTTGGACTGCTACATTTGTGAGGGGCGTTGACCAGGTCGATAGTAGGAGGCGAAGCTGAACTGCTGCAACAATGTACACACGCCTGCATCTACTCTTTGACGGTAGCGGAAGACAAGGCGCTCCTCGTACGTCTGCAACGCACCGTTTGGACAAAGGGTCGCGTTTTAGGCATGAGCTGTGGCCGTGTTGCTTATCCCAACCAGAGCACTTTATTTTGGTTTGTCTCCTCAAACTTCAAACACCGAGAACAGCTAAATCGAAGATGTAGCTCTCCACACGAAAACTTTCTCTGTTCGTCCTTGTCATTTCCTCAACTCAAACCAACAACAATGAACGACCATGCTGTGCGTTCTCTAACTTCGTATTTTAGTGAATACGAACTGAAAAATATTGAGCTCGATCCGATTGTTGGCCAACAACCGGCTTCAAGCAAGTTGATCATAGTGTCAATCATCTAAACTATCATCCAGACTCGACACACAAAGACACGGGTTAAAAGGGGTCATGGTTTAGTGGTATAATGTTCCCTTAGCAAGTTCTACAAAGCCTGCAGTGCTCAGTAGGATCCGCCTAATTGGGAGAGGTCGCGAGTTCGATTCTTGCTGACTCCAAATTTCTTTTTGCATCTGTTTTTGAAACATGGAACATGTTGTGGGTGCGTGAGATAAATTTTGCTGCTTGAGTGGATCGTAGTTTGACGGCAGGCGGAAGATGGTGGAGGCAGAATCAGGCTGAGGACTCAGAGAAACGAGGCTGAGTTGTTCAGGGGCCGTCGGTTGGCTCGAGCCATGGGTGCGAGTATTCTTTGGTCAATGTCACATTCAAGGCCCGTAGACTCACCCGGTTTATGACAATCCTTACTCTTTACTCTGAGTTTACTCCTTGATATCGCTGCGCAATCAGGACTAAATTCACGCCTTTATCATTTCATACTTTGTTCAAAGAGATCGATCGAGCAACAGCTGCCACCAAAAACGGCAGTCAAGCATACAGATTGCGTCTCCATGGACTTCAACAACATCCATGCAGCCAATATTAGTACCGCAGCCACATTCTCAGTCACACATATTCGCCACCGAAAGCCTTAGGAACACCAGAATACGAGCTCGCGTGTGAATGAGACTTGTATACAACTGCTAGTCTGGTATCCTGGCCTCCCAATGACACAATCGCAAACTCGAGTTTAACGTGGTGGTCAAAACGCGCTCAGCATATCCATGGTAGCAAGAGATCGTACCTGCAGCTCCGTATGCTCACCAATACTTTTAGAGTCAAGGTGTAGTTTGGTGGTACAGCAAGGTCTTTTTTCTTCTTTTTTTTCTTTCGCAGGGTAAGAGGTAGAGTTAGAATTTCATTCAAGAATTTCAAAGGGTGCACAAGGTGACATATAATCTATCTCACAGTCATAGGAGCTATCTCATTCAAACAAACAAGAAACTGATTCCTTGCATAATATGCTAATAATAGCCTCCGACTGTGAGATGAAGCATGGAGATACGCTAAGAGAGTGCCAAGGCCGAAGTTTAGCAAAGGTGCACCGGCGGGCGCAGTGCGTAATTATTGCTCGTAGGAGACGAGTCAGTTGTCGGTTTGCTGGTAGACCTCATCCATATACCCCTATCTACGGTGGATGATGGCGACCTAATGATCTGCCAATCAGGTCATCCTCACTGACGGCTACCTAAATTCAATCTCCGAGAATTTGTCAAGGCGGCTTTATGAGGAGCAATACGAGAGTGTCTTTGGTGGATGCAACTCTCTGAGTCGTCATCTCATGATTAAAGAGCGGTCTTTCAATCGATGACGAAACGTAGTGGTCACAAGAAGTCGACAACAGGGTGCTCAAATTGCAAGAGGAAACACATAAAGGTAAGTAAAATCTAGATTAGCACCTAGCCTTTTCGTCCATAACTATTGCCAAGCTCATGTTCTCATGATAGTGTGACGAAACCCGCCCTTCATGCGTGAACTGCATCACTCATGGGCGAGAATGTCCATACCAGGATGAAAATTACTCAGGAAGCGCAGTATTAACACCAACCACGCATTCTGCAAATGAGTCGTTCGTTTCACAATCGACTACGACAAATGCCCTCAGTCGATCGCAATCCTCTTCGCCTGTAATCCAGCTAAATCTTCCCGCTCCATGGTTCGATCTGCTATATGTTGAGCTTTTACAGCAATGGTTAACTGAGACCTATCGAAGCTATGTTTTCAATGATGAACACGCTAGGATATATGGACCAGCAATTTTCAACCATGCACTAGCTTTCCCGTTTCTTATGCATGGAATCCTAGCAAATGCTGCTCTGCATCTGAGTATCAAGTATCCAGAGAAAGGAGCATTCTATCGACAGCATGCAGGAGAACTAGTGAACCGGGGGTTGTCTGATTTCAACGCCAATCTGCCAACCTTGAATTCGAAATCGATTGTTGCGGCATTTCTATTCAGCAACATCACTAGCACTTACCAGATGTGCGAATGTTTTGTTTCAGCTACGACTGACTTCCACAGCTTTATCGACCGCTTTGTGGAATGCCTGAGGGTTTCCCGTGGAGTACAAGTTGTGCTGCAAGGATGGTGGGAATTTCTTCAAGAGTCAGAGCTCAAGTCTATTTTGATAGTGTCTGACCAGCTGAGGGCGGAGCACAATGTAGAAACACAGAGCTCAGAGTTCGACTCAGTCAGACGCCTTATACGATCTCTTGAGTTGACGAATGGCCCCAAGACCACGAAAGAGTATCTAGAAGCCATTCAGAAATTGCAGTGGACTTACAATGTGCAGTGTGCTCTTGATAGCCCCGAGCTGAATCGGTCGACATCTTGGGCATTTGCATGGCCAATGAACATTTCGCTGGAGCTGATAGATCTGCTAGAGATGAGGCGTCCGGAAGCGATTGTGATTCTAGCTCACTACGCTCCTCTTCTGCATTGTCGACGGTCCTCGTGGGTACTTGGAAATGCCGGCATTGTCATGTTTCAGCTCATTGAATCGTCTCTAGGATCTAGGTGGGCGGAATGGTTGCAGTGGCCAAAGGAGATAATCAGCATGACCTAAGTCGTGCAGGTCATGCCAGAAGCGAAAACGATACTGCTATCGCTGGAACTTGCTGCTGAGACAGGTTGACTGGATGGTTAGCTCCAATCTTATAGCGTCTTTATCTGGTCTTCAATAAACCCTTTGCACATTGCATCAGTTGCCAAACGACATACAACCCACAGGAACCAAGTCATCTTACCCTAATCTACTGGCCACCCCTACTGTTCGAATCAAAGTATTAGTGTCAACAAACACTAGACTTCATCCGGATTGCGTTATCGCAGTCGCATCGAACACATATAAGAAGACCTCATGACCGTATATGATCCGCTAATACCCCATGCCTCCTGCATAGTACTCTCAATATATCTCAGAAACTGCCAGACATTCACAATACAGTACCAGCAATCGTCTGCTCCATCTATTGTCGTGATTGACGATTTCAGTCGAGTTCTTTTTCTTTAACAATGAATGAAAGATTTCTACCATGACAGCAAAGGAATGCTTTGCAGTATCAGCCCCCTGTGCTAATCTGGATTGCTTGCAGTCTTGCTAATTTTCGCACACGCCAAAAACTTCATTCTTTGCGCCCGTGCTGAGGCTCAAGCCTGCACGGCTATCTACCTTTTGTTGAGAAACGGGACTGAGATGCAGTCTTCAGCTGAATACATATCCCAACGCTCCGGCCAGTCAAAGCACGTCTGATTGGTTGAAAGCTGCTTTTAACACACGTGTTGATAGCTCGCACTTATCGGTTTAGGCACAAGCTTCATTTTAAGTTTGAGAAGGCTTCTTCTCTCATTGCCATTTTTCCACATATGAAACTTGTGGCATGCCAATGAGCTAGGTTAATGCGTGTAACTATACGCCAGCAATGTCGGCGCAGCAAAAGACGAGTCAGCTAGCTCGGGACCCTTTTTCCAAAGGTTTTACGTCCAAAGCTCTGTTCCTAGACCGACGTCGCGGTCAGCATCTCTCGTTCATCTCATTAGAAGCTTCGTGAGATTCGATTTACTATACTCTAGCACGTTTCTATCTTACAATATCTGAAGCCCATTTTGCCTGCACACACAGACTACTCTAAAGTCGGGCTCCGATCAGTCATGGGCGAATTAACATCCAGGCTCCACCTCCGCGGCCTCACAGCATCTGGTATCTCTTCCATGCTCCTGAACACAATCCAACTCATCATTGCCCTAATCGTCATCGGCCTTGCTGGCGCAAACTTCAATGCCACGTCAGATCATCACTCTGCGGCCGTAAGTCTCGCCTTTCCTTCCGTCATTTCTGCTTGACCTCAACATCTCTTTCCGCAGGTCTACGCGATCATAATCGGACTCGTGTCTATTGCAACATCACCAGTCCTCTTCTACCTCACGCTGTCGCCGCCGTCACATAAAGTCTGGATCCTGCTTGTGCTGCTGTAGCAGTGGATTCTGACTGTCCTTTGGGCTGCTGTAGCAGGGGTGTTAGGTGGGGAGTCTCTTGATAAGGGGGCCGGATGGATTAAAGGCAGCTATGGGATTCGCGCTGGTTGCAATGGTGGCGTGGCTTGTCGGTGGTGTGATGGGTTGTGTTGGGTTTTGTTGTATCGGGAGGAAGAAAGGCTGGTAAGGGATGTGTTCGACCGGAATATACTTATCTCAGCACTATTCGCAGTGATGCATCCTTAAGTGACCTATATTTTCTTTAGTGTTGAAAAGTGCATTGCTATCTACCGTCCTTTTCCTGCAGATCTTGCTGGCCCAGACTCGATAGTACTCGTCCCCGAATCAGGAAGTATACTGTATGCAGGCAATGTGTCTCTGTTTGACGGCCTCCTCGAAACTTCTTCATCATCGCCACCACCATCATCGCCAGGTACCGCGTTCCAGAGAGCATCGTCAGGTAACAGGTCTCCGCTCTCAGACGCTGCCGGCCCAAGCACAGTAACCTCTTCAGAGCTCCTACCCTTGAGCATCACCTTCTCCCCTGCGCACTCAAACTCAACACTCCATGCTAGGTAATACCTTCTCGATATATTGTACGTCGTAAAAGATGGACTGATGAAAGTCTGAACTGGTGGTGATTCTTGCGTGGATTTGGCCATCTTTCCGTTCTTCGAGTGGTCTCTAGAATCTCTCGTGACGACAATGTTGCACTCCTTGCCGAAATTAATGAAGGACGGCGTGTCATCCTCTCTCTCATTCTTCTGATCCCAAGCGAGTGATCGCACCATGAGAGGCATGTGGCTGAAATGACGATCTACCAGCGTGATGTCATGGACTGTACCTGCGTAAGTATCGGACAGTATCGACGGACAGCGACAATCTGTGTTTGCCTGCAGACTGAGCTTTAGATGTCTGACCATCAATGATGGGTAGCGATAAAAGCTTCGCATATCTGGCTGTATCGTTGTCAAGTCAGCATCGGTCCTGGCTGACGCTGCTACTACGAATGGCAATACTGTAGGATGATATGCCTGAATTATTGAGGGATATGAGACGTCGATGTCGAATGTGAACCTGGGGAGATTTGCAGGGCTGGAAAGAGATTTCGTTCGTTGCATGATTGACAGTGATTTGGCATGC